AAAAACAAAAAAAACAAACCCAGCAACACCGAAAAAAAAAAAACGAAAATAGAAAGAAACAAACAAAAAAACAACAACACAAAACACCCCTTCCAACCTTTCGTCCCCCCCTAAATATCGTATATAAAATATTCTCATTCACTTAATCGATTTATGGAAAAAAAATAAATAAATAAAACGTTCTACAAGGTACATAATGTTTTTTGTGATGTGAAAAATTTTTTGTTTTTTTTCGAAAAAAATATTTTTTTGTAATTTTTGTTGTTGCTGTCGTTTTAATTACAATCATAAATAAAAAATGAAAGAAAAAATTAAAAAAAATGATTCAGCCAATGAAACACTTGGATACAACGGTTTAGTCTGATATAAATAAATTATAAATTTCTCATTATTTATTTATTTATAATAGAGATTTTGATTCATGTAAGTGAAATGAATTGTGGATTGTTTTAGAGGATTTCATTGTTTATCATCTGAGTTGAATGTGTTTTGATGAAGTTTTATTCTTTCAACTGGATGGTTTAATCGTTCTTCCGAATGATATCAATAGCATAAACTTAAAGTAGAAGTGAAATGTTTGAAATTCTTTCTTTATATATCGATCACAGATTGTTCTGTAGATCTCGATGTTGATTGATTAGTTTGTCTATTTTGGTTGTATCTCCTATTGATTTGATTTTTTAGTTAAGTGTTTGCATACGAGACCGATAGGTTTGAATCCTTCGGGGCAGGATCTTCGATGCGCATTGTCGAGGAGTTCCATACTAGGATGAAACGGCCATCTAGTTCTTCTAGGTTTTCTATGTTGGTCTAGCTTTAATTGACTCATGATCTCAACTATTAAAAATAATGCAATATCCACAAAACCCCCTCTCTGATCATAATCATCATATGCCCACTAGTGACGGTCTCCGAGAGGTATTTCCTGGAGTTACAGTGAGAAAGAGTGACCAGTAGAGTTCAACCACGTCTGTTGTGAGATAGTAACTCACTGATGACAATGGTGGATGTGTCGCTCAATTTCTTGAATTGGTTGAGGTTAGACATTAGCACCGTTGGATGCTGGCCGGCTCAGTGATATAGAGGTTAAGCATCCGCACGCCAAACCAATAGGTCCCTAGATCAAAGCTCGCAGGGCGGGATCGTGGGTGCGCAATGCTGAGGTGTTCCATATGATGATGAAACGGCCGCTCAGTGCTTCCAGGTCTTCCATGATGGTCTAGCTTCAATTGACCCATGAATCCAACTATTACACTATTCAAATCTCCACAAAACCCCTTTCAAGCTTTTTGATATTAATAAAAGGACTTTTTTTAAGTGAAATCTTCTCTAATTCTTATAATTATAAAATGCACCTTCGTGAGAAACTTAAAAGGAATACGTAATAAACACTACTAGTATAAATTCACTCAGTGTTCTTTACTTGTATCTTCCCATTGTTATTTAGGACTGCAATCGATCAGTCTCATGTTGGCATATGTGCATCCCGTGCGGACTGACTCGATATTGTCTTAAGTCACAAGCATTATAAGCAAAGATGGATAGTGGCTAGCAGTGGAATCCAGTTTGACGCGTGTTTCGTCCTATTTAGGACTCGTCAGCTTGATGTACCTGTATTCACTGCTAGCCGATATCCATCTTTCCTTATGCTACTAGTATAGTTCATAACAAATACTTTTAAGCTGTTTGGATGTATATATTGGAATAAAAAACTGATTTGACCATCTGTATGGAATGCTTATTACGTGTTGTTGACTAGAGTTTTTTAATTCCTTGGATGGTATATTTTTTAAGTTACACTAGGTTTATTTGATAGGACTTTTTTTGGATGAATGTGTAATTTTATAGCTCATTCATCTAAATAGATATGACATTTCAAGGACTTCATTCTGCGAGGAATCTTTAAGCAGTGAGTAAAACGTGTGTCAAACTAGTCGAATAATGTTCTTCTTTCTATAGAAGTTACATAAGCTTCTATTATTAACATTTGCTTTATATGACATGGTAAGACATGAACAGTACTTCATACTATTGAAATACCTATAGTTTTCAATGATAAATATAGTTTTGATCAGAATAGGGTTTGTGGAGATTGTAGTAATTTTAATAGTTAAATTCATGATTCAGTTGAGGTTAGACCACTATTGAAAACCTGGAAAGTAGTGGTCGGCCGTTTCGTACTAGTATGGGACTTGTCAACATTGCTCACACACGCAAGATTCGAACCCAGGACCTTTGTTCTCGTCCGCGAACGCTAACCTCTAGACTACTGATCTGGCATCGAATGGTGGTAATGTCTAATTTCAATCGATCCATGAATGATTGCTCAATCATTCATCTATTGTGTGAGATAGATATCTGTCTCTAACATCCAGTGCTCCCAGGTTTTCAATGGTGATCTAGCTTACATCGATTCTTGAATTCAGTTGTTAAAAAATAGTTTTCTCACTGTTTTATAATGTATTGAAGAAAAATTTACTATTGAAAACATTCTAAGATTGAAATGAATAGTGGAATTAAGAAGAGGGAAAAATATAGACATTTTACCGTAATGAGTTTCATCTGAATTTTTGGATTATTACAAGAGAAGAAATTGATTTTAGTGGCCCTTCATTTTGACACCTATCAGACCACACGATGTTATCGACAGGCTGACCACTTTAGTGGCCTGGGATCTGACCCCAGTGAGATCGTTTCTGATTGTTATCGAGATATACATGTCGTCATTCTTTGTATATAATTATTGACTTAGATTGTGTTGGTGAACAACGGAATTAAATAAGTCGGATACGAGCATAGATATTTTGAATACATATATTTTGTACACTCACTGATCTTTAACAGGAAATGAGAGTAATGAAACTAATAGAAGAGAACGAAGCGAAATAATGCACAGTAGAGAACACGTGTGAGCCATCTCTCATTTAGCCAGATAAAAATAAGTTACAGACATGTGATGGATAGGATAAGAAGTGCACACACACACGTTCATATGAAAACAATCAAGATTGATAAGCGAACAATTGACAAAGTCAAAATGTGAAGCAAGAATTAATAGTTAAATTGGCCTATCCAGAAGTTAGAATAAGGTATATGGGGTTAACATAACAACCGACACTACATGATAAATACAATACTCACCCGAGTTTTAATTCTGTTGAAATTTCAAGGATAATCTGTAGTGTAATTATCAGGTTAGGTGGTAAGTAATTTAATGTCATTCTACTAAATTACAATATCGATAAACGTAAGTTTGAATAGCTAAGTGACTATGAAACTATTTGTATTCATAAACATGTAGTGTTAGTATAAGCGTGTAGCTCTCCTAGAGTTACTGCCAGTCCCATGCCCGGGTGAACGAGATAGGTTGGGCATGGGGTCGGCAATCCCATCTCATGGAAAACAATCTTGCTAAAAAAATGCCAACTTGATTAAACAAATTAAACCATTTAAACTCTTCCCTGAGAGTTGAAGGAAGAATTATGACGCCTCAGGATGAGAGCCGAGATTCTACGGAAGTCACGAGTCTGATGCTTTTTCTAACAACCAGACCAAAAATTTTTATAGGTATATGGAACTTTCGGACAATGTGGGAAGTAAGTTAGCATTAGTCAATGAATGAAAAACTATGTGAAATTTAAGCTCCATATTAGTTCTGAAAAGGTACACGATATGAAATGTATGATAAAATAAGTATAGATAGTGGGTGGAAAACACATGACGGTATAATTTGTAGGCTAATGAGGTACTATAGACTCATCTTCATTCTCTGAGATTTTCACAAACACAACATTCTTCCTCTTTTATGTTTACTTTGTTAAAAGTCATTAATTCAACAGATATCATAAGTACAGTGATAAAATTTATGATACTATAGTATTTGGAGAATAAGTGATTTCAAATGATTACTTACTTACTGACTTACGCCTGTCGCTCCCAACGGAGCATAGGCCATTGACTGGTCTGCAGCAATTTAGATGTCTCTCCGGTCTCCCACATTGTACGAACATTCCATATACTTGAATTAATGGTTGCTCTGGTTGCCAGAAGGGGCATCAGCCTCGTGATTTCCAAAGGAACTCGGCTTTCATCATGATACGTCATAACTCTTCTAAATAAAGACCTAACTCCAAAGGCAGAGTTTAAATTGTTTGAACTATTTTTTTCTGGTTAGCGTTTTTTAACGAGTTAGTTTTCTACCCCATGCCCAACTCTCCTTCTTTATCCAGACTTGGGACCCGCAGCGGCCTCAGAGGGGATCCAGGCGGAGTTATTTCAAACGATATTTCACAGCTATTTATTAGTGGATTGAAATTGTTCAAGTAAGTAGTAGTAGAAACAATGAATTATTTGTTTCACTACTCAATGAACCCGTGAATAATTTCATACATGAAAGTCTGTTCAAAGTAATATTTCATTTTCACCCTCAAATGCTCTGGTACGACCGAAGGTAGGGAGAGTCAGCTCTCCATTTCGAAATGGTCTAACATGGCCACACGTATACAACCACTGTCAGGGAAGTCCTAATCACTGCCTTCTCAAGGCATTGCTGTTGTTCACGAAATTGAGAAAACGAAGAACGAATATCCGGCGCTTTAACTGAGCTGGTGGATGCGGAGAGTCCACCCATGGGAGTCGGAAAACCCTGAATCGAAACCAATGCAGATGGGCTCCAGTATCCTGAAAGAGCAAATGGCGTATGAACCACTCGTTGGTCACCGGCTACCATGGGACTACATCTCCTAACGTTGCTTCACTGCCTTGTAGATCAGACTTTTAAGGCAAAGGCTCTAGGTGTGGGCCCCTAAGAGAACCACCTGCTTCGATCTGGGCACCCGGGCAGTATCACAGCCCACACACAAATCAACTGACTTTTGTGATGCATATGTATTCGGTGCCCCTTTGTACCAATATTTATATGTTCAAATAAATAAATAATAAATTCAAATAGTTCAGTTGACTAAGTATTATTCTTTCTCTTAGATCGGAAAAACAAAAGTATGGATTATCTACACTATCTATTCACTTTATTGTTTATAACTAATTTTCCACCATTATCAAGTGAAAATCCAATCTTAACAGAAATCACAATATCAAAACTGGATAATAAGTAAGTTTGTGAAATATGTCATCATTTCTAACTAAATAGAAGCTTTCCTGTTATATAACAGACTAGTTATTAGTAGAAAGTATATTATTATAATAGATCTACTTGATAAAAATCAACAATATCTTATGAATATTCTACCAGTGTGAGATTCCTCAGCAGTCCATATCCATGATCCCGCCTCTCAAGATTTAAACCCAGGACCTATCAGTCTCGCGTGCGAGCACTTAACCTTTAGACCATTGAATCGGCATCCAACGGTGTTGGTATCTAACTTCAACCAATCCATGAAATTGCGCCAAACGTGCGCCATTGTCATCATACTAAAACGAAAAGGCCGTCCAGTGCTTCCAAGTTTTCTATGGTGGGAAAAAATGAAGGAAATAATGAACTTCAATCATAACATTAAACATATTCACTTGGTGTTGTTCACCTGAATCTTCCCATTGATGTTTAGGACTGCAAGTGATCAGTCTCTTATTGGCATATGTGCATCCTGTGCGGACTGCCTCAATATTGTCCTAAGTCATAAGCTTTATAAGCAAAGATAGATAGTGGCTAGCAGTAGAATACAGGACACGCGTTCCCAACGCTACTAGGTTCGAGTCCCAGAGTGAACATCAACAAGTCTGAGACCCAGATACATCTAGCTGAGGAGTCATAAATAGGGTGAAATGCGCGTCAAACTGGATTCCATTGCTAACCACTATCCATCTTTGCTTATAACAATAAACAGTTGTCTATTGCTCTTTGTCTTTCAATGAATCTTTCTCTAAATTATGTTAATCATTCATGAAATATAATGGACCTATTAGATTGAACCTTCATTGGTATTGTAGATGACTCCTAATGTATCGCATATTCTGCCTGGTTTTTTATTTAACTTAGAGAAGCGGATTCAACTGTAACTCCAGTTAATCGTCTTATAGAAAATTCCACTGAATTTTATAAGTAAGTCTTAAAATATTTTGTTAGTTTAGTAAATATTTATAATAAACTGTAATACTTACTATTATGACACCAGAGTTTTGTTCTCTGAGCTGAATGGTGTTATAACCCGTGGATTTGTGCCTCTATCTATGTATAATGTAATGATACCGCCAATTAGAGAACAGTGATTTATCAACCGGACCAATGACGCATAAACCCGTAAGAACAGTCTAGAGTCTTTATTGGTCCTGCTTCCCACCTCACCCTACCTGTTAAATCCAGAACATAAATCTCAGCCTCTGAGATATGAATCTCTTATTACGAATATAATGGGTTTATATACAAACGAAACAGAACACATCATACCATAAAATAGGAAACAGCATTTGTACAATATTTAGCCAAATGTTGCAGTGAATGTGGAAGATAGTAATTGATAGACTTAGCATAACTGAAGAGCCTGAGATTGATGTTCTAGACTTAATGGGCAGGTGTAGGCAGGAAGAAGGACTAATGAGATTCTATCATGCTTGTACAGGTCTATGCGTCATTGGTTCGGTTGATAAATTATTGTACCCTAATTGACGGTATCACTACGTCAGATATATTATTAAGGCCACAAGGCCATAAGTTATAACAGTTTGTGCACCTAGGCATTATCCTAGTTCTCACACAAATCGAATGATTTATGTGGTGCATATCTGTTTGGTGCCTCCTTGCATCCATGTTTATCTGTTTAAATAAGTAAATACAATTGACTCAAAATGGATATAACATTTATTCAAAGATTGTGTATTAATATGTAAATGGTGATACTATAATCAATGGATGATCTTTCAGTGACGCTAAAGTGACCTTCGTAGTGTTCACCTAATAACTAGAACCAAATGAGAGTTATAAACCAGTGTGAGGAATTCGAATTATGACTTACAGTTGATGATTAAGGTTAGGAATTGGATTCAGAGTTTTCATCAGTTATAATGACAGAACTTCATTTAGTCAAATGGAGGAGTGGATTTCGCGCCAAAATCCAAGACCTGTGTATCTTATACCGGATTGATTCACCCATAAATTGTGGTCTCTCCACATAAATCACCAAGATAGTTTTGTTTTTCATTTTCTTTCATTTAAAATCAATTATTAAATATATTCACTTAGTGATTCACTAAATAATAAACTTGTTTATTACATAGAGATACTCCCTCCTTCCTCCCTATCTATAGTAAAAACTGAAAATAGTCCATGGAAAATTCATAAACAACCATATTTATTCAGGTTTCTTTACTTTTCTAACAAATTATTCCTGATAGATAGTAACTAGCAATGGAATCCAGTTTGACGTGCGTTTCGTCCTATTTGGGACTCGTCAGCTGGATGTACATGAACCTCAAAGTTGATGTTCACTCTGGGACTTGAATCCAGTACCGTTCGTTTCAAACATCATTGCGTTATCTACTTAGCTACTGAGTTATGATAGCCACCTGCTTATGACTTCAGGCAATATCAAGATAATCCGCACAGAATGTCAACAAGAGACTGGTCAATTGCTGTCCTAAATAACAATGGAAAGATATAAGTAAACAATACCAAGTGAATAAAAGTATTCATGATTTATACAAACTATCAGACCATCTTTCAGTCTATAAGATCATTTTAACATTGTCAAAGATTGTCCATGAACTGCAATTATACTCAGTTTACTGTTAAAGAAAATGGATATTACATTTACATAATCACTTACATATATCATATACAATGTCTGATATGTAGTGTTGAAGATTTTGGGTCAACTGAAAGAGGAGAACGGAATCCCAATATTACAGGAAACTTGTCTTCATTTGGTACTGTGTAAGTCTAATCTTATTAATTGAATATATAATGTATGGAAGGCATGTGAAATACGACTTAATAAGCTCAGTTAACATCAATAACCTCAATGTTTACTAACTAATATGAAATGTTTAGGTTGCATACATCATAGAATAGTCTAGTTCAGGATATCATTGAAAACTAGGGAGTAATGGATAACTCTTTAGAAATGCACACTCATGACTTAGAGAGTGACCGAACCAAGGGACTTAAGTTCTCATAATAAAGATTTACTCAATCATTTGTGAAGAATATACTCAACCAATTAGACTATTTTTTTCAAAAGCTTTACAACTAATCTACAGCTGCTTATTCTATACGAATACATAATGAACTTTAGTATAAATTCGGAATCATGGAAAAGAAAATATTGACGAATAATTAATGAGGTAATCAAGAAGATGAACAGGTTGGTTATACTATTCACCAGTGGTTAGTAATGAATGATAGTGAATTGAAACACGTTGCTGTAAGATTAATAGATTATGTAATGTCCTTCTAGAGCCTCTCTGCGGCGCCTTCCGGTCCCGAACCAGGAAGAAGGCGAAGAGTTGGGCATAGGGTTAGTGACCTCATCCTGTAGAAAACGAACTCGTTAGAAAAACGCTAACCAGATAAAATAATTCAAACCATTTAAACTCTGACCTTGGAATTAGAAGGTCTTTGTTTAGAAAAGTTATGATGCTTCATGGTAAAAGCCGAGTTCATTTGGAAGTCATGAGGCTGATGCCTCTTCTAACAACCAGAGTAACCATTAATTCAAGTACATGGAGTGTTCGTACAATGTGGGAGACCGGGAGAGTCATCCAGGTTGCTGCAAAAATGAATAACAGTTGGGTAGAACTAGAAAGGAAGGTTCAGGATAGAGTGGGTTGAAGAATGTTGGTCAGCTGCCTATGCTCCATTAATGGTAACAAGCGTAAGTACATAAGTAAGAGAATTAATCAAATTTCGATAAGAAGTCTGATACTTATATGGTATTTGCATAAGAATGAAGCTGTGAATGTTGTAATTACATACGAACAAAAAAATTAGGAGAATCAAAAGAGGGGAAAAGGACTATGTTATTGAGCAAAGTAAAACTGAGGGTAGCACGAATTTATTGTGTATGTACAGACTTGGTTTACTTGATTTCAAAGTACCTTTAGTCATTAAATTGACATTATTGTAACCATCATCGAAAATCAGCGATCGCAAGGTCATATTTGTATGGATTGTGTAATCACGGTTTTTTGTCCTATTTGAATTCAACTGACTTGACATTGTATGGATTATATTTCTGTATCGGGTAGTAAGAAAGTAGTTGGTAACCACTCAGTGACCAGACATTTTAAATACCTCAATTCTGTAGGATGTCAGTTGCTGCTCGAGTCACTCACTGAAAACGTCTTAGATTGTGAAGCTGTGATTCGGGTTTCTGTCTACCCGGAAACATCAATTTACTGAAGATCATGGGTATACCTTAATGCTAAGTGCAAATTGCTACGAGAAATAGGTCTGAAAAAGTTTCTTGTCCACTACTTTCAACTATCTATAATGAAAGTAAGGACATCATTGAGCATTTAAATTGAAACCGCATAGGTCATAGTTTCAAATCCGATCACCTTCCGTAATAATACTATTATATCATCGATAGGTTCCATTTTCACTCTCAAACTTTCTACTCACATTCAATAAGCATCCAATATGCACTTTATTTAAACAATCAATTTCATTTGCTCACTAGCTGTATTTCTTATTAGGTTACATATAGAGACACATTAAGCGAATTCCATTCTTAATCTTCAATATTCACAACGATAAGGTTAGATTTAATGAAATATAACATGTTTTTTTATGATAATTCATTGTTAAAACATCTCACTTTTAAGATTTGAAGAAGCGGTTCCTATTTATCAAGAAGGATTGAATTTTACTACATCTGAGAAACTTGTTTCAACCACTTCTGAGTAAGTTCAATATCTTTTAGATTGAGATCATGAACCGATTGATGTTAGACCATTAGTGGATTGGTTGAGGTCACAAATTAACACCATCGGATGCCGACCAGCTCACTGATCTAAAGATTAAACGTGTGCACGCGAGACCAAAGGCCCTAGGTTCAAATCCCGAGCGCGGGATCCTGGATATGCACTGTTGAGGAGTCCCACAATAGGATGAAATGACCGTCCAATACTCTCAGGTTTTCAATGGTGGTTTAAAATCAACCAATTCATGATCTCAATCAAAAACTTCATAATCTCCATAACCCTATACTGATCAATATCTCTTGTCAAATATTTTATATAATGTAGAAATTTTTCTTATGTATATACAAAGAAAGTTTGAATGATTGTTTCCGAAGTATTCGGCTTTAAGACAGTTCTATTGAAGGAGTAAAGTTAGATTTAGTATCATTAAGGATTAAGGGATACAAGATGATTATCTTCGTCAGCGTAGGCTTACAATCTCAATCCAGATTGAATCCAGCAAATCACTGAGTACAGCTAATTTATGACATAATATAGTCTTTTATGGTATATCATCATAGTGTTATTTCATTTCACTCACAAAATTCCTCGAATTCACTGATTCTTGAGTTATATTTTTATCCAGCCGTACTGTAGTGAACCAGAACATAAAAGGGGGACAATCGAATGGGCTTGAACACACTAATTACAGAACTTAGTAAAATCTGTGAATCATACAATGAAGACTTCATTTGCAAAGTGTTGACCAATTGTCTTAGACTTCATGGTTTTTTTCGATTCTACACTAATCATTCACTGTTATCGTTCTCTTTTCTTTGATCTTCCTAACCTTCTGCTTCCAGACATCTCACTTTTGATTGATAATCATACATACTACTTATATCTGTCAATATAAGTAGCACATACCATAATACATATTTAGTTTCTGATCTTCATAATATTTCGATTTTTATGATTTTTATGAGTATTCAACAATAAATTATTTCATTTTAAGATCTGAATTTGCGTCTGTACTTCATGAAGATTGGAATTCTACAATGTCGTCTAACAGTCCAATTTCAACTAATTCTATGTAAGTGGATTATTTTGGGGGGTTAAACTTATCAAGTAAATACTTAATTGATTCTGTACATCAGCTTGAAGTTCTCATTTGTAGGTTAATACTGAATTCATGCTAATCAAACAAACATACATACACATTTATTTATTTGAGCATATTGTTATTGGTACAAAGTGGGCATCGAATACATATGCATAATAAAAGTCACTTGAGTTGTGTGTGGACTGTGATACTGCCCGGGTGCTCAGATGTAAGCAGATGGTTTTCTTAGTGGGCCACACTTAGAGCCTATGACTTAAAGGCCTAATCTACAAGGTAGTGAAGCAACGTTGGATGCAGTCTCATGGTAGCCGGTGACCAACGATTGGTCCATATGCCATTCGTTCCTTCAACAGCCACTGCCAAGAAAGTTCTACCAACTGTCTTCTCGCGGCATTACAGTTATTCACGAAATTATGAAGGAGAAATGCGAATATCCGGCGCTTTAACTGGGTTAGTGGATGTGGAGGGTCCACCCACGGGAGTCGGAAAACCCTGTATCGAAACCAATGGTGCAGATAGGCTCCAGTATCCTGAAGGAACAAATGGCGTATGAAACGGTTGTCGGTCACCGGCTATCATGGGTCTGCACCTCCTAACGTTGCTTCACTGCCTTGTTGATTCGTCCTTTATGTCACAGGCTCCGGCTGTTGCCTCCTAGAAAAATTACTTGGTTCAGTCTGGGCACCCGTGCAGTATCCTAGCCCTCACATAAATCAAGCGACTTGTGTGGCGCACATCAATTTGGTGCCCCTTTGTACCATTATTTATGTGTTGAAACATATAATAAATAAATAGGCTTCAGTATATAATATACCGTTTTTCTTGTAGGCATGAAATAAATGTTACCAGAAATGATGCATCAACATTTCAACTTGAAGATCAAAATACAGAAGAACCTGTAAGTTTATATCAAAAGCAAAAGAGTTTATGTAATTAAATACTCAATGGTATACTTCTAATTTCACAAACATATATTGGTTGATGTTGGGTAGTAAAGCTTAATTACTAGAAAACTTCCAGTGTTTGAGATCATGAGTCAATTGAAGCTAAACCACCATGAAAAGCCTGGAAGCACTGGATGGCCGTTTTGTCCTATTGTGGGACTCCTCAGCGGTGTGCATCAACAATCCTGCCTCGCGACATTCGAACTCAGGACCTATCAATCTCGCGCGTGAGTGCTTAACCCTTTAGACCATTGAGGTGATCGGCATCCAATGGTGTTAATGCCTAACTTCAACCAATCCAAGAAATTAAGCGACACATCCACCATTATCTTCGGTGAGTTACTATCTCACAACAGACCCTGTTGAACTCCACTGATCACTAGAACTCCAGGATATACATCTTGAAATCAAGTATTCCATAGTGGTTTAGCTTCAACTGACTCATAATCTCAACCATTGAGATTACTATAATATCCACAAAAACCCTTCAGATACTAGAAAACTGTTGAAAATTGAACTTCACCGCAATCAATAGTTTTTGTCAGACTATATATATAACTTAGTAACCAGTTTCATTTAGAACAAGGTTTAAGTCGAGGATGTACCATTGAACTACGGTTATGTGCCAGTTAGCTTAGTAATCAAATTGTGACTTAGTTGATAAAATTTAGCTAACGATATGGTCTACACAAGATGATTTTGGTTATAAACGAATGATCGTTTAGCATGTAAATAGAATGAATGCATTTAAGCATTGAAAGTAGCGTGGAATTCGAATCATAATTTTAGTAAATTTACAAGTCACTAAAAATATTACTTACTTACGTATAGGCCACCCATCAGCACTCTCCATCCAACCCTGTCCTAAGCAATCCTTTCCAGTTATTTTTTATCCTTTTCATATCTGCTTCCATTTCCGACGTAATGTGTTCTTCGGCCTTCCGCTTTTCCACTTCGTTTCAGGACTCCAAGTTAGAGCTTTCCTCTTGATACAATTTGGTGATTTCCGTAATGTATTTCCTTTCCATTTCCATCGTCTTTTCCTAATTTCCTCTTCAACTAAAAGCTGGTTTGTTCTCTCCCACAGAAGGCTGTTACTGATGGTATCCGTCCAACGGATATTGAGTATCTTGCGTAGACAACTGTTTATAAATACTTCTATCATTTTGATGATGGTTGTGATAGTTCTCCATGTTTCAGCTCTGTACGGTAGGTCTGTCTTGACATTCGTACTGGAGATTGTGATTTTGATGTTGATGGACAGTTGTTTTAAGTTTCATATGCTCATCAATTGTAGGAATGCTGCCCTTTCTTTGCCAATCCTCGCCTTTATGTCTGCATTCGATCCTCCTTGTTCATCAATGATGTTCTCCAAGTACATGAAAGATTCCACACATTCCAGAGTTTCTCTATCAAGTGTGATTAGGTTGGTGTTCTCCGTGTTGTCTTTGAGGATATTGCTTTTTCCTTTGTGTATGTTGAGTCCTACTGATGCAGAGGTTAATGCTACACTAGTTGTCTTCATCTGCATTTGTTTGTGTGTATGGGATAGAAGTGCCAGGTCATCTGCGAAGTCCGAAATATAGTTTTTTAAGATTCTCAGTCATAATATAATGATTTTATGATAAAAACGTTTTGGTACTACACATCATAAAATATTTTATTCACATGTTAATAATCTCGATGATTTTCAATGGTTAAACCTATAAATCTTAATATTTTTTAATGTATGCGGTAGGCTACTTAATTATAAATAGTAGCTTAAAATATACTACATAATTTCCGTAGGTTCGTATTTTGTGATATATTTCCATAGAAATAATCAACTAATTTCATCAGTGTTTATTCATATATTGATTCTTCTTTTTCCCGTTATCACGTTTAATTTATGTGGATATACATTGCTCAGAAATATTTTAGGCGAAACTACAATTTATGGAAGAACTAATCAGATTTACGATAACAGGTCTCGAATTTCACTCATCCAGGATCCTGAGGGAACAAATGGCGTATGAAACAACTATTAGTCACAGGCTACCATGTGACTGCATCTACTGGCGTTACTCCACTGCCTTGTGGATTAGACCTTTAGGGTTAAAGGCTACTAGTGTGGCTACCTAAGTAAACCACCTGTTTCGGTTTGGACACCCGAGCAATATCCATCATCTTTCTTATCAATATAGGGTTGTAGAGGCCATTAAATTTTTCATTGAGATCATAAACTGATTGATTTTAAACCACCATTGGAAACCTGGAAGTATTGGACAGCCGTTTCGTCTCATTGTAAGACTCCTCAACAGTGCTCATCCACGATCCCGTTCTCAGGATTCGAACCCAGGTCTTTCGGTCTTGCGCGCGAACGACTAACCTCTAGACCATTGAGTCAGCATCTAACGGTGTTTAACCTATCAACCAATCCAGGAAATTGTTCAACCATCTTCCATAATTCTTATTACCAGTTTATCAATCAAGATCATTTCATCCATATTTCTTGATAGTGTTATTACCATGTTTAATTCTTGTTTCTTCTTCTTCTTCTTCAGGAAACAGAAAATAACGATATAGTGGATTTGTTAGATAGTTTATTAAATAAACTTAAAGTACCTTCGGATAATTGGTTAAATTATCGTCACATAATGGCAATGCAAAGTCCTGATGGAAGTATTTATATACCAAAAAATCATACACAAAGTACTAGAAAACATTTGATTACTCTATTAGGGTATGTAAAATAGAATTTTATATTGTTGCTTTCTTTCTTTCGAGTAATTCATCGACCCTAATGAATTTCTTTATTGACAATAATAATAAAGAGGTTACCAAGGACAAAACACTTCAGTGTTTACCACTCTTCAAGTCACCGGTAGATAGTGGCTAGCAATGGAATCCAGTTTGACGCACGTTTCGTCCTATTTAGGACTCATCAACTGGATGTGTTTGCATATCAGAGTTGATGTTCACTAAGGGACTCGAACCCAATGAAGTTCGCTTCAAACGCCACTGCTAGCTTAAAAACGTTTTGACTTAAGGCTATATTGAGGCGATCTGCACAGGATGAACATATGCCAATAAGAGACTAATCAATTGCAGTCCTAAATACCAAGTGAATCTTTAGGTCAACATTCAGACGAATTTCTTGACAACTGATGCTTTAATAGATAAATGGTTATCAATATTAGGGTCTTTGATCGTTTAAATGTACATCATTTGAATCCTTTACTTTGTCTGCTGGCTATCTTCTAAACAAAATCAACGAATATCATATTATCACAATTGATTGAGCACTGGTTGGTGACCAATGTCATGTGTGTCAAGTCCTTATTATTAGTGCAGATCGAATGCTATCGACCATGATGCAATGTGGTCACCAACCTAGGTGACTTGACACTGCATGCACTATTGTGAGATTAGATGGTGGTTGGAGGTAGGGGACAGGAAACCCGAGTCCAGGGTTAAATTCTTCTATATATACCCAGATCTCATTGATAGTATGCTATAAACCATGAGATTTTAATGTTTGAATTTCAATCCTATATAATCCTGTGCATATGTATTGTTGCGAGAACACAAATGTGAACAATCGAATATATTTGAATACACAAAATGACATAATCTGAGAATTATACAGTTAATACTTCATTTACAAACTGTCAGTCCATTGTCTCAGACTTCATTGTTCCTTCATTTCCATACAAATCATTTTCTGTTCTCGTTCTATTCTCTTAGATCTTCTTAACCTTCTACCTCCAAGCATTTGACTATCAATTGATGATGCATACTACTTATATCTGTCGACATCAGTAGCATACACCACACGACACACTTCAAATCAATGATCAGTTTAAATTTTCGTTTCAGTGTTGAGTAGCAATATTTTTGGTTCGCAAAATAAATTAAATGATCCGTCAAAATCCAATCAGTAGTTATTAACTATTGAGAAGTACATTAGATTCTAAAAAGAACTATCATATAAACTTTAAATAAATATAATAAATCTTTTTAATAGTTAAATTCATGAGTCAGTTGGAGCTAGACCACCGTGGAAAACCTGGAAGCACTAGACAGTCGTTTCGTCCTAGTATGGGACTCCTCAGCAGTGATCTGGAGGTTAAACATTGGCGCACGAGACTGACAGGTGTTGGGTTGGAATCTCGCGAGGCGGGATCGTGGATTTGCACTGCTGAAGAGTTCTATATTAGGACGAAACAGCAGTCCAGTGCTTTCAGGTTTTCCATGGTGGCCTAGCTTCAATTGGTTCATGAATTCAACAATTAAAAAATTATCAAAATCTCCACAAAACCCCTTCTGAAAATTGAGTAAACAATAATAGCACAGAATCTCTAGATGATTAGATGATATTCATTTTGAAGTGTACTTTGGTAACATCAACACAAATTGATTGTTGATAATCAGAACAAGATCAATGCATTGATGTATGGCTGCCTGTTTGAATATCTGAGCTATCTGTTCCTGCCATCTAGATATTTCAACAGGTTTTCTATATCCTTCTTTGTTTTAATACATCATTAAGGCTGTTAATCGCATAACCTATTCAGGTGAGTATCTGAGAAGTGTACAACCTTTCATTGTACAAGTTACAAAAGAGCCAAATCATAGACATTGTGGTTGCTGGCAATATGTATTGAAAAGAATGAACATTATTCATATGTCGATTCCTAAGCTGCTAACATCTAATTGGCGATTAATCAATATCTAAGGAGACTGCAAAAACATATATACTTCGGAAATTTCGCATAATTAGCTTCGAACACCTACTTAATATTCAATATTTATCAAAAAAGAGTTTTGTGAAGATTTTAGTAATTTTCTTAGTTGCATTCATGAGTCAATTGAAGCCAGACCACCATGGAAAACATGGAAGCACTGGACGGCCATTTCGTCCTATCGCGGGACTTCTCAACAGTGCGCATCCACGACTCCGCCTCGCGGGATTCGAACCCATGACCTACCAGTCTCTGGTCTGCTGACGAGTCCCACGAGAAGACGAAAGAGCCGTCCAGTGCTTACAGGTTTCCCGTGATGATCTGACTTCAATTGACTCATGATCTCAACTGTTGAAATTACTACAATCTCCACAAAACCCCTTCTGATACTAAGTTAGATTTTGTCATTAAAATGTCATTTATCATTTTCACAATTGTTTTAAATTTTTTTCAGATTTGCTGAAGAAATTGCATCTAATAAAAGTATGTTTAATATTACTAATTAAAACATTTACTTTAAACTAACTTTCTTTAATAATGAATCATGATAGGGCAATTAACAACAAACCATGTTTAGTGTTCTCGGAATCAGCTGAGCAGCAAAACCGCTACAACGACACCAGTTCAACGATTTCATTAAACTATTCAGTCGGTAGTAGCGACAGGCAGTGTATACAAAGGTCATGGATGTAATCAGATAAAGCTTATGACTCACATTTACCAGGAATTCCTTGTTCACGGGAAACACTTGTAAGCCCAGATCCAAGTCACGAAGATAATGAAAAAGTTTGCCTAAACCGTCCCGGGCCAGATTTTCAGACTCGCTGATACCGTCGTTGTAGCGCATGTGTGGCTCCGGAGACCTAAAAACATCATAAACCATTTATTGCTCAGTTTTTTGTGACTTAAATGATAATATAATTATAAGAATTACCCAGCCAATCAAGAGATTTAAATGAGAACTGCATATTTTACAGAGATAAACTCATAATTACAAGGGGATTTTGACCACATCCACGATTAATTCATTAACTAGTATCACAAACGTGTTCCGGTTGGTTCCCATTGAATTGCTTCAATAATAAGTATTACTGAGGAGTCTCAAACTGAAGAAGAACAGCAGTCTATTGTTGTTTCAAAGTTTTGGAGAAAATGCTCCAAGTTATTTATATGACAGGAATTTCTGTTTTGAGATATTGGAGAAGAGTTGCAGCTTAGGTAGATGATTTTGATGGAAATTTGATCTCTTAGCTGAATGGTTTGATCGTGGAGCTTTCATCTTTCTTCTCAACGACATAATCATCAGAACAAACTTCAGGTAGAAGTGATGTGTTCGAATTTCACCACACGTGGTTTACAGCTTGTCCCGTACACCACAGTGTTGATTGGTTTTTGTTGACCTCAAACCTGTCACTGTTTACTTGGTTGTTTTGGTTGTATCTCCCATGGATTTGATTTTTGTTTCTATGTTTGTGCATAATTTTCCTGATTGGTTGGTAAATTTAATCGATTTCAGTGTGCTTGTTGATTGTTGATTGACCTTAGTGCCAAGTTTCTAAAAATTCTCTGGTGTTTTTGATACTGCCTCTATACAAAATCTCCATATTTTTCCAGTCGAATGTATGTCCGCAGTTGTCCACCTGCATTGATGTGTGAGGATATGTCATGGCATTTGACCGCCAATTGATGTTCATGAAGGCGAAGATGGAGAGGGCGTGCGCTTTATCAGATGTAGTGTTTTTCTCAGTTGGCACAATCTATTTTGTAGATGATACTTGGTTTGTCTTCTTTCGTCATTTTATCCTTTGGTTTGCATAGGACTGATTGTAGAGATTTTGTTGGTTTTTGTGCAACACCTACTCCGAAGATTTTCAGCAGTCTGGGGAAAATTATACACAAACTTAAGAACAAAAATCAAACCAATTTGAGATACGACCAAAACAAAGAAGTAAACAATGACAGGTTTAAGGTTAACAAGAACCAGTGAACATCGAGGTGTACAGGACAAGCTGTAAATCACATATGGAGAAATTCGAACACTTCTACCTGAAGTTTGTACTGATGATGATGTCGTTCAGAAGAACGATGAAAATTCCACAACCAAACCATCCAGCTCAGAGAACAAAACTTCATCAATAAGAACTTTTATCTATTTATTGCAATGTAATATTTGAACATTTAGTCTTCAATCTTTCATTTACATCAGTTGTGTATGCTACAACCTAAGCTGGCTGTAGGCTGCCTCCTGTCGTTTCTCTACTGATCTTACAAGTAATTCGAACTCAAAATGCATTCAGGTTCCTAAGAATTCTGCTTTCAACTGTTAACTACATCAACTCATATACGACTCACCAGTTCACATTACCAAACTAGGAATCTTGTTATCAGCATTCACCACAGTAGTAGAACTTTTTCAAATGAAATATCAAAAACACACGTTTAGTTCCATTTGGAACTCGTCAGATGAATGTACTTCCATCCATAAGTTGATATTCATCATTAGAATCTTAATTATAATTGCATGTTTAATATGGTTACTTTGTATTTCATATTCAAGATGGTATTACATATATCAACACCAAGAACAACAACAATGAAGAGAAGTTACTAATCACCACACAATCGATAAATGATGATACTTTGATTCTTCTTGAAAATAATATATCAATCATTGGAGAGAATCAATCTAATATTGATTATGAAAAGAATATAACTGATAATGATCAAGAATTCTCAGAAATTGACGATGAAACAAGAACATTTACTGAAGTATCTGATCTTTTTTCTTCTTCAAATGTTACTGAAAGAGAAGAAGGAAGATTACTGGATTATGAATTACATAACTTCAATGAGTCAAATGATCTACATGAAATTCTGGAACATATAACCTCTGATGATGTGGACCATAGAATATCTGAACAAAATAATCAGTCTTCTACATTGGTTACTGACGAAAGATTGTTGAATATAACTAATGAATTACAATTAAACAGTAAACAAGAGAATATCACAACTGATTCAATGGATAATGTTAGACAACAACGTACAGAACTAAAAAATAATCAATCAATGAAAGTTTAGAAGATCGGGTAAACAAATTATCCTTGTCAATATTAAGTGTATTCAATATTATTAGTTATCACTATGGCTTATTGATTTATGTTTACCTCACTTATTCATGTTGTTACTTTCATTAAGTTGTTATACAGTGTATCTTGTTGTCACATAGTTATAACTTGTGGATTTGTGCCTCTATCTATGTATAATGTAATGATACCGCCAATTAGAGAACAGTAATTTATCGATCGGACCAGTAACGTATAAAAACCCGTATGAGCAGTTTAGAGTCTCATCGGTCCTATTCCCTCCTATAACACACCCGTTAAGTTCAGAACACAAATCTCAGTCTCTGTGATATGAATCATTTATTTCAAACATACTGGGTTTATATACACCAACCAAATAGACCATATCATGCCATAAAATAGGAAACAACATTTGTACAAGTGGCTATGAATGTGGGAGATTGCAATTGGTATAGTGGGCATAACTCAAGAATGGTAAATCATATAATAATAGTTCATAGGTCAAAATAAAACATGTAATTAGAGGAAAACGAATATGAGTAGTTTAGTTACTTAACAACTATACAATAAGAATATACGTATGGTATTATACCAGAAATAGATTCGGACAGTTACCATTCATCATTCTCATCGGGACATAACACACGTAATAGATACAACTTCATGTTCTCAACTCAAACATTTATCTGAGCTAACAGTGTAGAATAGTGACTTTGCTAAATGTATATGTCATAAGGGGTTTTGTGGATATTATAGTAATTCCAATACTTGAAATCATGAGTCAGTTGATGTTAGACTGTCATTCGAGTGACACATCCACCATTGTCGTTGGTGAGTTACTATCTCACAACAGACCTGGTTGAACTCCATCGATGGCTACTTCTCACTAGAACTCCAGGAAATACCTCTTGAAACCAATCATTAGTGAGCATATGTTGATTCATATCAGAAGGGGTTTTTGTGGATATTATAGTAACTTCAATAGTTGAAATCATGAGTAACTTGAAGATAGACCACCACGGGATACCTGGAAGCACTGGACGGCTGCTTCGTCCTCTTGTGGGACTCGTCAGCAGTGCGCATCCACGATCGTGCACACGGGACTTGAACTCAGGACTTTCGATCTCGCACGCGAACGTTTAACCTCTATATCATTAAGCTTGCATCCAATGGCTCACGAATTAACTATAATCTCCACAAACCACCCATTTCTATAATAGTGAAATTGTTAATTAAACAAACTGAATCCAGGACATTCTATGTTTGTGTTTTATTCTCATTCTGTTTTTTATTCACTTTTTCAGATTTACAAACAATCAATTAACTAATTTCTATTCTAGATAGAATACAACTCATTTGGTAATACTGATTTATCATACAATAATATACTACTTATATTACTATTATCCAATACTACTATTGGTTATCTCTTTAAAACCTCAATTTATTAGTGAAATAATTAATGATTCTTAAATCAATGTAAAAATGATCTATTAATTGTTAGTTGATCTGTAGGAGCTTTCTGTTACCTCGTTGATCTGTCTACTCTGTTTTTGTGCAGAGGATAACTTGTCTAATCCGGGTTAAGACGTTGACGCAATAGGCTGATTGCTTAACCTTGCGGCTTATATGCGTGAGTTCGAAGTGAGACCAATGGCTTGGGATAAAGAGAAGAAAACTAGTCTATCACCTGATAGGCTGAAAAGCATAGGAGTGGGAGAAGACAAGTCAACTGGAACAATACACGATTTATTCCCAATTCCGATCTGCTCCCCGATTCAGAATAGTGTAGAAAGATGCATGAATAAATAGATGAATAACCAGACCACAACACTCAAACAATTAGGCTAATACAATTATGTCCAAAGCTGGGAATCAGAATAGAAAATAGAGTACAAAAGATTACGTTTAAATTACAACAGCTTTGGAACAGAAAATGTTATGGCAGTGAATCATACATCAAACGAAGGCTTATGATCTGTAGAATAGACTAGGGACAAAAATAAATGTTAGTGTTTTACAAGCTTTGACTTAAATGAAATAACATCCCTCAAAATTAGCTTCCGTAGTTTGTCAATGCTTCTTGTTTTCTCTGTTCACATCACTTTCTTTTTCACAATGAATGACTTACTTACTTACTTACTTACTTACGCCTGTTACTCCTAATGGAGCATAGGCCGCTGACCAGCATTCTCCAACCCACTCTGTCCTGGGCCATCTTTTCTAGTTCCATCCAATTCTTGTTCATTTTCCTCATGTCTATTTCCATTTCTCGGCGTAATGTGTTCTTTGGTCTTCCTCTTTTCCTTTGGCCTTGGGGATTCCATGTGAGGGCTTGTCTTGTGACGCAGTTGGGTACTTTCCTCAATATGTGTCCTATCCACTTCCAGTGCTTCTTCCTGATTTCTTTCTCCGCTGGGATCTGGTTTGTCCTCTCCCACAGTTCGTTGTTGCTAATAGTGTCCGGCCAATGGATCTGAAGTATTCTGCGTAGACAATTGTTAATAAACACCTGTATTTTCTGGATGATGGCTTTCGTAGTTCTCCAGGTTTCTGCCCCATACAGTAGAACTGTCTTGACATTTGTATTGAAAATCCTGACCTTGGTGTTGGTTGACAGTTGCTTTGAATTCCAGATGTTCCTCAGTTGTAAATATGCTGCTCTTGCTTTTCCGATCCGCGCTTTCACATCTGCATCGGATCCACCCTGTTCGTCAATGATACTGCCCAAATATGTAAAGGTTTTTACATCTTCCAAATCTTCTCCGTCAATTGTGATTGGATTGGTGCATTCTGTGTTGTATCGGAGAATCCTGCTTTTCCCTTTGTGTATATTGAGACCTATTGCTGCTGAGGCTGCTGCCACACTGTTTGTCTTCTCCTGCATCTGTTGTTGCGTTTGGGACAGAAGGGCCAGATCGTCTGCGAAGTCTAGATCATCCAACTGCATCTTAGATGTCCATTGTATCCCGCACTTCCCTTCAGACGTTGACGTCTTCATGATCCAGTCGATCACCAGGAGAAAGAGAACACAATGAATGAGTTAGGAACTAATTGGCTAGATTAGTTTGATCATTCATTGAAGTTATTGAAGTTAAGATTGTTGTGTAGCTATTTTATCCTTGTTTGAAAATTATATAAACCTAATGTTAATGCAAGATATTATAGAGTACTGAAGTCGAAAAGTCTCGTTCATACTTTAAACACTATGTCTTGTTATTTACTGGATTATTGAACATTTATGTGTTTCACGCTGACTATAACGAACACTCCCATAAAACCAGAAGTTAAGTCTATAGATGCGTCCAAGTCTCCCAATCGAGATACGCACAAAATTGAAGTTCACAAAACAACGATTTGTGCGTAGCTCAATTGGGTGACTTGAACGCTTTGATAAATCTAACAGTTCTCAATTTGTGATGTGTCTGCGGCGTTTAACGCGTCGTTTTGTATAAAATAAAAAGGGCTTCGATAATGTAAAAGACAGCTGATAGCTGTGTCCAAACTTGATAACAGATTACAATAAGGAAAATCCGAACCAAGAACAAACAATATGGAAGCCGTTTCATTCAAACGAAAAAGTTAAACGAAAATGCACAAAATTGAAGACAACTACTACAGTGATTCAGATAAAGTAATTTTAATGATAAGTACAATAAACGTCATAAGTATATGTAAATATTTCAGAATATTACACGACAACTTGCATTACAACATAAATGTAAAAAGATTGCTGGGAATACGACTATTTACTTGAACATAAATAAGTAGTATAAAACAATATGCAAAAGAACGGAAGTGAATAGGGATGGGGAATGTTAAACAGACTTGACACCATCTTTGTATCAATCCACAAAGTTGAACAAATAAGCTCTCTATAGATTACGGTTTACTACTAACCTATTAAAATTAGTTTAAGTAGTCTCGCTTAGATAATTTCGCATGTGTGGAGACTTGATGACTAGCTGATTTATATGACTTCTGGACGAATTTGCAACATGTATAAATGAAACATTACTTTAACACAGAATGACTCATTGAATCCCGTGGGCGGGATCGTAGATGCGTACTTCTGAGGAGTCCTGTACTAGAATGAAGCAGCTATCCAATGCTACCAGGTTTTCCATGTTGGTCTAGATTTAATTGACTCGTGAATTCAACCATTTAATTACTCAAATCTACACAAAATCCCCTTCTCATAATAATCATCCTGAAACCTTATACCCCTATCAGTGAAAAGACTGCTAACGAATAAATTTTAAGATTCTTCTTTTCTCTCAAGTATACTACGTTCATACATTAATAATACTAGTCACGTTATATCAGATCCAGGATTCACAACGCAAAATAGAGAACTATATTAACACTAGATAATACTTTATTCAATACAATGACAAACAGTCACACTCAGGGATTTTGGAGAAGAAATCAATGAGGGGGATGAGAAATCATCCGTTTAATAATCTATAGACTGTGGCTATTTGTTCATACTCAACAACCAATCATATTTAAACTCTATCATCACATAGATGCACCATTTGAAAAGACGTGATTAATACATTGTTACAAAACTCTTAATCATATGAAAGATATAATGTAAACGAAATGCCTAATCAAAAGTGTAAACACTTAAGAATACAGCATTGTTATCTAAGCACATATAACGTAATAGTTATCAGTCATGTAAGCACACTTGTGTGCTACATAAAAGATGGGGCTATAATATCATAAGGGTTTAGAAATGATGGATAACGTAAATAAGGTAGAAGTTAGGAATCAGTATCTTCCAAATAGGAGGATGGTGGCGTCATGTTTATCAATGAATAGTACAGTGAATAGATATTCCAATACTGTCATAATAAATATATAAACATCTACTACGAGAAGGAAGGAAATAAAAATCAGGATTAGGGAAAAATAATAAGTTAGTTATAGTTATATAATATACCCTTGTGGGCCAAAGTAATATTACATTGGTTTTCAGGAGAACCAGATACCATCCAGACTTCCGTGTTACAACCCAAATAGTACGACTCAATCCCACTTCACAGGAAAACCAGACACTGTATAGGCTTTAACGCTACAATTTTGATAGTGCAGCTCAATCCTGTGGCGCTGCCACATAGGTACCAAGCATCCTTGTGGACCATTCGCAACACTCATATACACATTCACATGTTATTCTGATCAATGATCGCGTGAATCAATTATGCACAGCAAGAACAGGCCAAAGTTGACCTATTCCGCTTACACGAAAGTCAAACTCATTAATGTTAGTGATGACAACATGCCTTACAATCTCCCAATAACAGTCGCCCTTGAGAACACTGAAAAGGAACCACCAGCATAAATGAAATCGGTTAACCAGCAAACCAGTTTTGTGCATAAACAGTCATCAAAACTTGCTAAAGTAATGCCGAACCATCCATAATGTCAATGGTAAACCTCCACTCTTATATGAGACCTTCAGATCTACATAAGAAGATAGCTTATACTGCATACAACACATATGTGGGGTAGTAAACGAAATAACCCAGCCTGAATTGCTAGAGATTAAATAACGTTTAAAACCCATTGTCTGGTGTCGGAATACTATTACTAGACCACAATGATCATTTTTATCGCATTTGCGAAATTTTCATTTTCCCTACTTTTCAGAATGTGACTGAGTTAGGGGTAGTATCCCTAAAAAACTATTGGTAATTGATCAGTCACAAAACATGCGTTCGATTATTGCATAGCTTAATTATTCAGATCAAACTTTTCTTTTAGATAATCAACTATTCTATAAATATCCTTACAACAATGAAAGGGATTGTAAAGCTAAAATGGAATATAAGATTAATTAGGAATAACATAAGTGATTTGTGAGTTTGTGATCAAGTCAAAGGATAAAATACCAACATGACGGTAAGCTTAACAAGTAAACTTAGTTGTAATAATGATCAAACACCTGAAATTCCTGTAATTTTATTAGTGGAGTGAAATAAAACCTCTGATCTAAGCATTTATTAAGTCAGTACTAGAAGTGAGGAAATCCGTCTGTAGCTCTTCTAGGTTTACTGCCGGTCTCAAGCCCGGGTAAAAGAGGAGGGCTACGCATGGGGTCAGCAACTCCATCCCGTAGAAAGCAACATTGCTAAAAAAAGGAGTTAACCAGAATAAAAAATTTGAACCATTTAAACTCTGATCTTCGAGTTGAACGGTAAAGATACAAAAGAATTATGGCGCCTTATGATGAAAGTCAAGATTCTTCGGAAGTAACGAGGCCGATGCCCCTTCTAACAGTCAGAGTAACAATTAAAATAGGTACATGGAATGTCC